AGAGCTTCTTCACCTGGTTGGCAAATATTTCGAACTACATTGTAATCTGCATCTGCCTACTTTCATGCTGGATTTAGAGAGGTGGCTGAAAACAATAAATCCCTAAGTTGGGGCCAAATAATTTATTTTTCAATATTTTTTAACAGATTAGGACTGATTGAAACATAATTGGTTAGAGATTGTTTTTATATGAAAAGTAAACGGACTTGAAGAAATACAGCTGCACATATTCAGCTGCCATCCTATGCATTTACTCTAATGTTTGTACTACTAATTTTATCACAAAGCATAATTAGAGTAAGATGGAAGACCTCTAAAAAGTGACACACAATTACAGCGAAAAAGAAAATGCCGAGTCATAAAGAATACGTTTTTTCATTCAAGTGGATTCCACTATGTTAATTAAAAGCCAAAAGTATTCTGAGTAAGATTTCACTATGATTGTATTTTAATTCAATACAATTGAAATGTATTGAATTGCAACTAAAGAAATGTGGCAGTAAATTGGTTCTTGAAAATTCTGAAATTCTAAGATAAATTACTGTATTCCAAGCACTTTTTCTTAGGTGCTTTTACCTATGTAGGCGCATTTAATCTTCATAATACCCATTGTGGTGTAGGTACCATCCTCACACCCTCATTCTACAAACCTGGAACCTCTTTTGATTAGAAGCCACATGGCTAGTCCGTAGCAGACTTGGGTTATAATCCAGGCAGTCTGACTATAGTCTATGGTTGGAACCGTTACTCTAAAAGCAATTTTAATAGTTAAAGAAAGAAGGTTAGTCAAATAAAGCAGGTGTCACTAGATAATTTTATCCTAAAATATAAATGGTTTATAACCAGGAATAGCTGCTGTGCATCATGCGCCTACTTAAGTGCCTGGCTCTATGCTAAGCTCTTTCTATACATTATTTTATTCCATTCTTAACATGCCCCTCTGAGGTAAAGGATTTATTATCCTTGTTTTACCAGAAATGTAACTGAGAATTAGAGAAACTAAGTAACTTGCTGATGGTCATGTAAACCAAGTGAGTAGCAGAACGGAAATTTAAACCAGATCTCTTCACTTCTTTAGACCATATGTGTAACCACGATTGCTAGGCTGCTTTCTCCATGTTAAGATTCATACACCCCTAGCTGCAATCAGGGTGATCTCGATGCTTTGAGAGGCTAAGGCAGGAGGATTGCTTGAAGCCAGAAGTTCAGACCAGCCCTGAGCAACATAGACCCTGTCTCTACAAAAAAATTAAACATTAGCCAGGCATGCTAGTGCATGCCTGTAGTTTCAGCTACTTGGGAGGCTGAGGCTGTGGAAGCATTTGAGCATGAGTTTGAGGTTACAGTGAGCTAATGATGGCACCACTGCACTCCAGCCTGGGCAGTGGAGTGAGATCCTATCTCTTAAAAAAAAAAATTCACACACTTGTCTCTAAACAGCTTGTGCCATAGTCTTTTGAAATGAAATTGTTGATAATGAAAAATGTGATCAAGAAAAGCAGGTCGAGAAATGTTTATGTTGACAATAATTATGATATTAAAATATAGCATGAAAATATTTCTGGTTGTTACTTCAAAAAAATCTGTCAAGAAGCGTATCTTTTGCTATGCCCCAGAGTGTATTGTAACATTATCCCAGAGTTTTGGCATTCCGATATAATCATATTTTGTCTGTAATTGGAAGACTGTGTGACTAAAATAACATTTTGCTGAGGAAGTTGAAATTCTAGAACAAGGATTTTATTTTTATGCAGAGATAGAAATTCATCACTGTACGTAATCAAACACAATTGGCATAGTGAAATTCTTAACCTTATATTAGAGAGAAATAATGATTGTCCAATTCAATAAACAATTCTTATTTATTTTTTAGTTTTTTCTTTCTGAGACAGAGTCTTGCTTTATACTCAGTCTGGAGTGCAGTGGTGCAATCATGGCTCACCACACAGCTCACGTGATCCACCTGCCTCAGCTTTCTAAGAAGCTGGACTACAGGCGCACGCCACCATGCCTGACAACTTTTTTTTTTTTGGAGAAGCACCATCTCACTGTGATTCCCAGGCTGGTCTCAAATTTCTGGACTCAAGTAATCCTCCAGCCTCAGCCTCCCAAAGTGCTGGCATTACAAGCATGAGCCACTGCACCCGGCCTCAATTTTTATTTTAAATAAAATGTAAAACAAATGAGAATACAGAGTCGGGCTTTTCATTCCTGACCTTATCAATCAATGAAAGACAATTTGAGAATAAGTTTGTAGCACAAAAAGCATGTTCCCTTTAACTTCATATAGCATAATTTATTTTGGAAAAACACAACTGTAAAAAAAAATGCATCCAGTTGCAGATTTTGGTGTCAAGAAGAATGGGTGCTGTATTTGCCCTGTGAATTTGGGCTTGACTTCTTTAACATTTCTGTGGATATAGTAATAAACCTTCTTTCAAGGCGTGTTATAAAATATGGGCTATGTAAAAAGCTCAGTCAGTTTTTGGCTCATAGTGTGTTCTTAAGAAGTGAACTTTTCTTATTAATATTAACTGTTTCCACATGTCTGGATGTGCTCGATTAGGATTCTGCTCGCTCCAGTGGTTCTATTCAGAATGCCTGTTCTAATAGACTGCGCAGACTGACCCCTCCTTCCACCTTTCCACTCTCTAGCTAAAGGAAACAGCACAAAAAGGGTGTAGGCACTTTTAATCTGAAGGAATTTGTGCAATCGGTACATTAATCTGAAATAAAACATTCAGTAAACAATTTTTATGTGGGTGGAGTTCTTCACATTTGGTAAAAATACGTATCTGTGTTTATACATTCTCAGGTTTGTATGGGTCCAATTTAATGCAATGTCATGAGTTAAAATTGGGATAGTGACAACTGAACATACTTCTATAACGAAGCACCATAAATAATGTAAGAGTACATCGCTTCCACTTCGCTTCTCTTTTGGGATAGTTTATGTCAGATCTAGGCAGGAGGAAATTTTTTGGGTTAAAGATTTTACTTACTTTTTCTATCTCTGTTCCCTCTTAGAAAGTGATACTTTTCTTGGGGTTTGGGAAATAAGTAATTGGCATTGTATTCAGGCATAAGAAAACAAGGGAACTTTTCTCGTGCCTTAAGTCTTCTATCTTTATTTTAACAAAGCTTACTTTAAAGGAATGTTGTGCTTTATTAAAACCCCAAAAGGGCAACTGCTGATTATCAGTGGGTAATTGTGATCCTGAAAACTGAAATACACAGAACATTTTGACTTTTTAGCTTTTGGACTCACAATGTTTCTCTCTCTCTCTTTTTTTTAATCAACTACTCATCAAAGCTTCTAGAAAAGCCAAAATAACCTATGGGAAATTTATTTTATTTGGAAATGCCAGCTTTAAGTCATATCACTGTAGTGTATGGTTTTTAATAATAATTAACATAGCCATCTACAAACTATTTGTTGACCATAATACTTACTGGGATAGAATTTATACACTCAACATTTCCAATTTAATATAAAATGCTTTTTGAAATTCAAAGAAGTCAGTTTTAACATGGTAAGCTAATTTTAACATGTTGTAATTACCAAGCATAACTGCAGCATTATTTTTACAGAGAAAACACAATTGTTATTAACACCCCAAATAATGTTCTTTGTCCAGTTATCAGTCATATTCTTACATTTGTTTTTACTATAGCTTCGGCCCTCTACTTTCTGTGGAATAAGAGCCCCTGTTGCCATTTAATTGGTTTCTCTTGGGAAAAAAAAACGATTCTCACCCATTTTCAAAAAAGCAGATATACTTCAGCAGTTTTAACACGTTGTTTTTAGTATGAACTAAGCCAGGCAGCTCAGATTCAAGTGACATTTCACCTTTGCTCTTGGAAAATCTTTCTAAAAAATAGTATCTCCTCACAGGATGACCACTAATAAAAAATAAATAATTTTAAAATAGCAATAAAATAGCAAACATGTATTTAGTTCGTGCTTACTGTGTTAGTATGATTATGTTAATTATTATATTTTCAAATGGAAACTTAATTAGTGCCTTTGTAATTAAAACTATAGAACTCTTTTTATATTTGTTTGGATATTTTGTTTCAAATATATTTGCCATGTTATTAAAACTTAACAGAAGTATGGTCTGAGTCTTTTAAGAAACTTGGTATATTTGTAATGGTAACAGCGTATATGAAACAATAGCACATCATAAACACAGAATATTATAAAGCACTAAAATATATAGGCCAGATAGCATATTCTAGATAGAAAAAAATTGCAAAGTGGAGTTTATTGTTAACCCCAAGAATGGAATATATTAGGGTGAAAAACTTTAAATCTCTTAAAAATTTAAGAAAAGTAGTTCCTTAAAAAAAAAAAAAAAAAAAGAAAGATCCAATTCTTGCCCCTAACGTAAGGCGTGAAGCTCTGAATTAAGATTGTAATAGGTCTACTCCATTTTAGAGCATCTTTGCCATGTTTACTTTAGCATTAGGTTATTCCTGGTCAGAAAGAGGTGGAATTGCTTCAGCTGGTGGACTTGACCTGATTAAACTAGGTAAAGCTTCCTGGAATTGGCTTGATTCCCCTGAGCCAATCTTAGCCTCTATCCCAATCCGGGTGCTAAGAAGTATATAGTGATTTAGTTAAATGGTGTGGACTTTCGAAACATCTTCTTTCTTTAAATAGAAGTCTTACGAAACACTGTAAGTAGAATTCCTCATGAATACATGTCCCAAATTGTAGTTGAATTATTCAGTAGCTACATTTTCCAGAATAGTTCATTTTATTATCATCCTTAGCTTTAAAATCTTCTTGCAGAATAGGAAATGAAAATTGATAATGAGGAAAATGGGCATTTATAGGTGTTCTTCATTGCCTTGTAGTAGAACTATCTGTCCTTTTAGCACTTTACTAGCATCCTTTGCTTTAAAATTAAGAAAAGCAGTTGTTGAGATGTAGTTCTGAACCATTTTTTACAAGTGTTTCTCTTACAAAATATTGAAATGCCTGTTTTTCTCAGAGACCAGCATGCCGATGACGTCAAAGAAGACTTTGAAGAGAGAACAGAAAGCGAAATGAGAACATCACATGAAGCCAGAGGTAGCTAATAATTCTCGTATTACTCATATTACTCGTGTATTAATATTACTGTGAAACAATCAAAACCTTTAACTGGAATACAGCAGTCTCTTTTATGTTAAAAATGAATTTCATTTTTATTGTTATTGTTTTATTTTAGGTTCAGAGGTACATGTGAAGGCTTGTTATGTAGGTAAACTCGTGTCATGAGGGTTTGTTATACAGATTATTTCATAACCCACGACTTAAGTCCAGTACCCGATAGTTACCTTTTCTGTTCCTGTCCCCTCTCCCAGACTTCCCTCCTCAAGTAGACCCCAGTGTCTGTCATTTCCTTCTTTGTGTTCATAGGTTCCCATTTATTTAGGTCCCATTTATGAGAACATGCAGTATTTGTTTTTCTGTTCCTGCATTAGTTTGCTGAGAGAAATAGCCTCCAGCCCCATCCATGTTCCTGCAAAAGACATTATCTCATTCTTTTTTATGGCTGCAAAAGATGAACTTTATTTGAACTTACTCTTTTTTGCAGGCAATAAAATTTATTGTTCAGTATCAATATAGTATGTAATTTATAATAATATAGATTCATGTATGGCCTATATTAACAGTCTCACTATGGATACAGTATTGTACATAAAATTTGGTAAGATACTCTCTGTGAACCTTACCACACTTTTTCTTTAGTATTGTTGATGTCATTTGTTTCATATGTTTAAAACTCAATTCAGAATGTGTTTTGAAATCCAAATAGAATATTATCTTAATCTAATATCACAAAATGCAAACAAAATTACACGAACAATGTTTTAAGTTATATTGGAGGAAATAATATGTGCTACATCTCTGTTAAAAAGATACTGCCTTCGGACGCTGACGCAGGCGAATCACCTGAGGTCAGGAGTTCCAGAACTGCCTGGCCAACGTGGTGAAACCACATCGCTACTGAAAAAAAATTTAACTAGGTGTGGTGTTGCATGCCTATCATCCCAGCTACTCAGGAGGCTCAGGCAGGAGAATCACTTGAACCTGGGAGGTGGAGGTTGCAGTGAGCCAAGATCATGCCACTGCACTACAGCCTAAGTGACAGAGCGAGACTGTCTCAAAAAAAAAAAAAAAATTGCAGTGGCTTAATTAAGCAATGAAGTTGTAATGACTGTTAGTCATAGTATAGATTGTATGTATAAATCACATATAACTTTATTTTTTGTAGGAAAATGTCAGTCTGATTATGATTTTGATTGTCCCTGGGAACTTTGCTTTTCATGCAAATAGTTTTGTTTAGATTATTATATAAGATTTGAGAATGGCGCCTAATGACTGTTTGCTTGCAGTGACCTATTTTGTAAGTTATCTGATTTTCGCAAAACAATTATTTATTATTAATTTAAAAGTTATAGGCAGTGCTGTCTTCGGTACCTTTTATGGTGTTTATGTAGCACGGTGCACAAACCCCATAAATGGCTAGAGTTGGAATCTCTGCTCTGCCACCTGCTGCTGTGTGATCTTGGACATGTCATTAACACTTCTCAGTGTTTCTGTTTCTCTATCTGCCTATCCAGGAGAATGATGGTGGTGTACCTCCCTCATAAGGTTGTAATGAGGATGAAGTGCAGTCGCATTCTTAGCTTGCTTAAAACAGTGCTGGGCACATAGAAAGTGCTATGCAAGTATTTGATTATGGAAAAAGGAATAAAAGATATTTATGAAGGTTTCATTATCAGGGCTATTTTGAATTCTTAGACAAAAGCTTCAGCCTTTCTTTGTGAGTGGTGGTTTATAAGAGGAGGTAACAACATGGCCTTCATTCAGGTCTCAGCTCTACTACTTCCTAGCTGTGTGACTAGCTCTGGGCAAAGTACTTCACCTGTTTGTGTCTCAGTTTTGTCTTGTGTAAAATGAATGTAGTAATAGTATCTTTATCATTGGATTATTGTGAAGATTACATGCAGCAGTGGCTGGAGTATTCACTATTATTAATAGTAGAAGTATTGTGGAAGAAGTATCTGATCATTAAACGTTCAGATAGATTGATAATAAAATCTTCTAGGCTTTGAACTTGTTGAGGGAGTAATAATTTGATAACATTTTTAGTTTCTTGGTGATCTCTTTAACTCAGTGATTATTTAACTTTCCATTTTATTATTTATTGGGCCAATTTTGATAATTTCTAAAATTGTCTGTGCAATGGAGAATTTCCAGTTTATTAACATACACTATGCATGGTATTCTCTTCTTTTTCTTGGTAGTTTTATGTCTTGGTAATTTTTTTTCTGTTTTCCTTGATTTGAATGCCTAAGTTTTTGTTTTATGATTCCACTCAAAGAACGATTACTAAGATTCATATATAATTCTTAATTCTGTAATTTTCAAGTTATCTTTATTATTTTTTTACCTGTAAAACCTGTAGTTAAATGTACCTATTTTGCTTATTGTCCTACTTTTTGTTAGTGAAAGAGAGCTTCATAAAATAAGTTGTTTTGAGAATCATTTGCACATATTTTCATCAGTGAGATTGGCCTATAATGTTCTCCTTTACCTTCTTATCCAGCTTTAGCCTCCTGAAAGCAATATAATTTTTCTTCTTTTTCACATTTTTGAAACATTTTGAGTAAGGCTGTGTCATAAAATGTATCTATAGTGAAATCATGTTACGATTCTAGGCGTTCTTTTAACATCTTTCTTAGCCTTAGATTTCTTTTATCTTTTTGAAATGGATTTTCAAGAACCATTTTGTATGAAAGAGATTTGGTTAGCACTTTGTCCACTGCTGGATAGCACCATCCCTACTTTACTGGTTGTCGCCGCCCCAAACCCAGGGAACTTTGGACTGAAACTAGGCCTTACAGTTTCTGAATATAGTGGATCTGTGGTGACATTGGGGGCCTCTCAGATCCTAGCCAGTGGGTTTCCTCCTGTCTCTCAGTTGTTAATAGAGCCATGGCTGAGTGCTTTATATGAGGTTGCTGGAGACAGATGCTGAGACTGTTTTGTACAAGAGGTTTGTTGGTGAGTATTCTTGGGAGCAACACCAGTGAGAGAGTGAAGGAAGCAGGATTGGGCAGACCGAGAAGCTGAGCTGGGAGTAGTTACAGCAGAGGCCTTAGCCCATCCCGCAAGCTGTGCAGGTGGCCGTTCGGAGTTATCCCAAATTCAGGCAAGGGAACCAGGCTTTTGTATCTGAATTGACCAGTCCTCGGATGTTTGCAGGGAGGGGCACATGTCCTTGGGCAAGGAAGCTCCCTTTGGCTTTGGGCAGTTCCTGGACAGGGTGGCAGCTCTGAGCGCCTGCATTCCACAGGTAGGAGAATGAAGCCCTGGTTCTGAAGAGCCCAAAGAATGGCCCACCAAGGTCCACTATATTCAGCCAGTTGTTTGGTCTTTCTTTGAGGGAAAAGCAAACAAAACAAAAGAAACAAACCAAAATATCCTTTCAACTATGTGAGATGAGGCCGGCTAAATTCAGTCTACTCTCTTGGTTTTGAAAATGAACCTGGCTTTTAAATTCAGTCTTCTTTGGTGATTTTTGCCTGGGAAGTCATGAGCCTTTTTGATTTTTTGATTCAGTCTTCTTTAGATCCAGAAAGCTTCCTTAAGTTATAGTTTTGATTATTACTAATACTTCTGCTTCATTTGTCTCTTTCTTGAAGGTAATACCTATTCTTCTTAGGCTAGCCTCGAGGAATGATACTGAAAATACTTAACAGCTCATTTGGTAACCAACATGGCGCAGGACAGTTAAGCAGCCATCTTGGTACTGGAGCAGGGTCCTGGAGGCTCTGTGCTGTAACAAAAGTTACACTTAGATGGGGGATCTTGGGGAAGTCCCACAAGGGACTGACTGCACAGTGGGGAGGTCACTATTACCAACCACTGTTTTCATATTTTCACAACTTAGGCATTTTGTGATGTTGTCGACATGTTTTTCAAGATGCAGTACCTCACTCAGTCTCTCGTTCTGTCAAGTGTGCTATTTACTGCCCTTAACAGCAGTATCGTTTCTTATTTTCCTATGATTTCCTACATTGACTTGTTCTCTTTTCATAGCCTGTTTTTGTTTTACAGAGGTTATTTTCCCTGGTGCATTGCTAAAATCATGACTCTCTTCTGTCTGTAATCCAGTGCTCTTCTTCTGATGTTTTGTAGAACTTTTTATTAGAGGCCCCCTGGTTATTGTTTTCTGTTTTATCATTTTTGAGTCCCGAGAAGTTTTCCCAAGGTCTTTTGTGAAGAAGACTACATGCTTAATGCTCCCATTTGAGTCCTGGCACAATTCCTCCTTCAAATGTGAGGCTGAAGGTCAGATAGATGTGCTCCATCCTGCAGCCCTTTTGTGAACCTACAGGTGCCCACCAGTGTTCATTCTCATTTCTAGTCCAGTAGCAGAAGCAGCCCTTTCAAACCTAGCCTGGCTGGGGGCAGCATGGGGGTGAGAGGGAAAGCCCCTTGCACTGTGTGTAGCATTTATTCTAGAGGAGACTTTAGAAACCACCCTTAGTTGCTGTACAATGTCAAAAGGATTTAAGACTCAGTAGGCCCATGAGGCCTATTTTATTTGGAGTCTTGGAGTAAATTGATTGAACACACACACACACACACACACACACACACACACACCCTCTCTTAAAAAATGATATTCCCCCCACTTTATTTCTTCTGTTAATTCGGTTTAGTTCAGTAGAGTATGTGTAATTATGAGCCTTTAGGGATGACTCCTGCTGTGCTACTGAATTTGATCTCTGGGAATTTTAACTCAATACCTTCTTCCTTCCCTCCCTTTCTCCCTCCCTCCTTCCTTTTCTCCCTCCCTCCCTTCCTCCCTTCTTCTTTTTCTTCATCCTTCCCTTCTCCCCTCCCTCTCTTTTTTTGCCTCTGTCTTCCTACTTGAATAAGTAGCTCATTCCTACCATTATGGGAAGGCCCATTAGTAAAGAATTTTTTAAAATTTGACCTTCAAATTTAAATTGGCATATTCCTAGGACAGGTAGCATTTTGTTTTCTCTTCTGCAGCCACTCTCTCTTGG